TTATTGTTCATGACTTGAGAGATCGATGCGCTTGTGAATAGAATCCAATGAAGCATTTCGGTGATGTGTCACAAACTATTAAGAAAAATATACAACTTGGTTTTAGAATCCAACTTTAAAGCATTTATGATAGTTAGAGTCCTCATGCTGAACAAAAGCTTTACCATTGCATTTTTAACAAATGATGCGAAACCCACAAATACAAATGATGCATTAAACACTAGATTCGGGATTTGCCTAACAACGGAACAAGGAGAAATGATACATTAAACACTAGATTCAAGATTTGTCTGACACCGGATCAAGAATTCAATCTGTGAATCCGACTTTGACACCAAACTGTAATAGGACAGGTTTAAAATTTTAAAATATAAAGTAAGATTAATAATCTAAACCCCAACTCATATATACTTATTTCACTTCTCATTTAAATTTGACGTAAGATAAATTTCTTTTTGTAACACTTAAATGACAGTGCGTCTAATTCTTTCTATTTTGCTTCCAAAAAAACAAAAAAGTACGAGTTCACAATAAGAATATCTTTATCGTCGCATTTTTCTATCTCTACCGCAATAAAAAGTATATATTTCAGTCTGATTAGATTATTAGTTTGACCAGGTCAAGGTTGAATAACAATTGCAATCATCTTCATTCCACGCCATTGTCATATTTTAGTAATAGTGCCTGTCTGTCTTTAAGCACTTTGAGAAAAGTAAAACAAGAACTCGGATTTCTGCCTCTTATTTTCTCCCTTTTCCTTCAAAAGTCCAAGAAGAGGGACATTCTCCATGTGGGGGTTTCAGGCACAAAATATTAGGGATGACAAATGAGCGGGTTGGATTGAATTTGGGTTAGACGAATCAACATGAGTCAAGATTTATATTCAATTCGTTCAGAACGAGTTAAAAATGGACAGGGTCAACCCATTATGACCCATGAACCTATTAATTATTATTTTTTAAAATTTTTAAAGTTATTTTAATTATTTTTAAAAAAAAAAAAATCACCGAAGCTCCAACAGTACACTTCTCTGGTACCTAATCTTATCTCTATTTCCAAAAACAGAAGAAAATGGAAAACTGAAAAAGAAAAAAAATCAAAAAAATTTAACGGTATATATAATCACATATACGCCATTGGTATAACCGTCCTTTATTATCTAAAATAAAAAAAAACTATTGTCTACATATATTGAGAATAAAGAGAAGTACATGTCTTTCTCATTCCATCTCTCTACTTTTAAGTAAAGACTCTGAAAATAAAAATAAATGTTGATATAAAACCATTTACATTTCTTGCTATATCTTTGGTCTTTGGCTTTCTCTTCCCAGTCACTGGCTTTTGGTTTTTTTTTTTTTTTTTTTTTGGGGGGGTGGGGAAATGAATATATTGAATGTGAAAAAAAAAAAAAAAGAGGAAAAGAAAAAAATGACTCAGCTGATGTCATATTCAAGCTGATTTCTGCCTGTAGTTGAGGTCAAAAGATTGTACACAAGATAAAATAAGAAACCTTGATGATGCACCCTTAAAAAAAATAAAAATAATTTTTTTTTTTGATAAGATAAAAATAAAAATTTATTTTTTTATTTTTTTTATTTTTAAAATATTTTTTTAATTTTTTCATTTTTAAAAATTATTTATAATTTTTATTTTAAATTATTCTTTAATTTTTAAAATTATTTTTTAATTATTTATTTTTTTAGAAGAAATTTTTAGAGAGAGAGGGGGGATTGATGAGAGACAAATATATAGATAAAGGATTGTGAGTGAGAGAATTTTAGAGAGAGAAATGAGTTGAGTACAATATAGAATAGATGTGTGTTGAGTATTTATTATGTGATGGGTAAAATATGGGTTGAATATAATTAACTCATCTTGACCCTCAAATTAAGTGGTTAAAAATTACCTAACACATCTTGACCCTCAAACTAAATATGATTCACCTATAATCATTAAAAAACGGACAGATATGAGCGGGTTGATAATTCCTAATCCATTTTGCCAACCCTTGCAAAATATAAATGGATTCCTAGAATTATGTCAGAAGTAGGTGCATTTGATAGGAACTTTTGGCGCTCAACAGTAAGTTAATAACAAACAAATGGAGGTTTGTTGTGCTTTCAAAGTTGGACTTGCTGCTTGTGATTCGGTTGGGTTAGCTTGTCACATTGAATGGAATAGTAAAGAAAAAAGTGGCCCACTACTATGGAGTTTCTGTTGAGGAACAAACAGAGGGAACAATGCTTCAGACATTTGATGTACCACAAAATGTGAGTCCATTTCACATGCCTCGAGCATTTCATGACATGGTAAGCCTCCATGGATGTGGTCATTGAATCAGATAAGTTTGATTATGTTAGAAGTCGATCTCATTTTTCTTTTTCTTTTTCAATAATTGGGTATTCAGGATTTTATCCTGACTAATCAACGGGATTCGTGTAAAGCGATTTCTTCACACAAGTTGAGTAAGATTCGGACTATATTTACGGTCTTGGCCTCTAAAGAATTGATAGCGCTCAAAATGATTCAAACGTAAAACTTAATATTTCCTGTCGAGGGCTTCACCAATGGAATCAACCCCTTAGGGTTAATAAAAGATAATAAATCTGATTTTGAGTTCTCTCTATCAAAATTTTGATTTTCCTATTTTATCTATTTTTTTGTTTCCCAATTCGATTTTCCTACTTAATTTACTATTTTGGTGTGAAAATGTTAGGAAAAGAATTGAAATCATCATCATAATATTGGGGGTAAAGTGCAAAAAAATCCCTTGAAATATTGGTCATGTAGCAAAAAACCCCTTGATCTACTAATTTGACATATAACCCCCCTGAACTAACTAATTTGGTGCAATTAACCTCGTTCGGAGGTAAGCCGGTTGAATTTGACCGTAAAGACGCACATGATAGGTCACGTGACAATCCAAATTTCTTTAAATGACCATACAACCCTTTATGAAGCTAAAAGACCATAATGTCCCTTTTATTACTGTTAAATCCCAACCAAACATTCTCAGTCAAATTCCCACACATATATATATATATATACACACACACACACACACTTTGTAATCATATATATCTAAATCAGTTGAATCATCATTTGAATACAACAATTTGTATTGGAAAGAAAAAGAAAAAGAAAAAAACATTGTAATTAAGACAAACAACCACCATAGCAGCCAACACACACTCTCTCTCAAACACACGCTTTCTCTCTCTAACCAACACCCTCTCTCATGCTGGCTCTGCAACACCCTCACTTTGCGCCCGTCTTTTGTTTGGTCGAGTTTAATTTGCTAGGATCTTGACACTCTACAAATTTGTTGGGATCCTTGTTGCCATACAAATTGATGCACACCCTCTGTCGCATCGGTCGGATCATTCAAGAACAGCTCGTCGGCGGAGTAGGAGGTGATCGATCCGAGTAAAACCAGTACAGAGAGGAGATTGGAGGTTGTCGGCAGCGGTAGCGAAGCACCGCGGCGGCTTCCCTCTCCAGGAAAAGACCCACCGCTCCTTCCTGGAACCGACCCAGCACTGATCCGGCCTTCATTCTTCTCTTTTTAATGACGGAGGCTTTGCCCGAATCAGCCTCCGCTCCTTCCTGGTGCTTGACAGCGGCAGCGGAGTCCCCATCCGGTGGTTGTTGTTAGTTCGGGTATGGTTTCGCCCAAGGAAGATGTTGTATAGATTTTACCCAAAATAAAAAAAAAAAAAATTGTTGCAGACATATTTGGTTTTTTCTTTTTGAAAAAAAAAAAAAAAATTCTAGTTGTGTTGGTCTTCATCTGGATTTGATTGAATTTATTTGGGACTGGTATTTTGGTTTTGTATATTCTAGTAGTGGTTTTTTTCGTATAGATTAGGCCCTCCACGTCAGACTAATGGTGATAAGGTTGGTGTGTGTTGTTAATTTTTTAGTGGTTGCTAAGATTACACCCTCCATGTCAGACCACAGTGATAATGTTTGTTTTTGTTGCTGAAATTTTAACTGAAACGACGTAGTTTTTATAAGGGGTAAAATTGTCTTTCACTATTTCCGTTTACACCAATTGGCTGGAGATGTCACATTGGGAGTTAATTGCACCAAATTCAATAGTTCAAAGGGGCAAATTATAGTTCAGGGGAGTTAATTGCAAGTGGCCAATAGGTTAATGGGTTTTTTTTGGCACTTTATCTTAATATTGGAACCATAAACTCCATAAGTCCTAACCTATGAAGCATAGACACTTCTCCCAGGGGCCGCGTACCCGTGTCGGATATTTTTTGGACACTGACACCCGTGTCCGAGACTCGGACACGTGTCCGACACTTCTGTAAAGTGTCCAAATATTATTTTTTATTGGACACGCGTGTCCGAGGCTTGGACACACGGTCCGACACTTCTATGAGACAAAATTTATTTTCTCTCACTCCTCTCACTCTTCTCAGTCTCTCATCTTCTTTAATTATCTCTCTTCATGAACAAGATATATATATATATATATATATATATATATATATATATATATATATAAGTTACATGAACAAAACTTTGTGAAAGACTAAAAGTATATATGTTTATTCATATATATATTTAGTTCATTATAGTTATGTCTCTTCTGCACATCTTCGTTTGGAATTTGGATCAACTTTATTTTTCATTTATTCTATATTTTTCTTATAACAAAGATGAAATTATTGACATTGATTCTGTTCTTTGTTATTGTTTTATTTATCTGTACAAGATTCTAGTAATTATATTTTGAATATATATATATATATATATAATTTTATAGGCGTATCCCCGCCGTGTCCGTGTCCGTGTCCTATTTTTTTGAAATTTGCCGTGTCGCCATATCCTTGTCGTGTCGTACTCATGTCCCGTATCGGTGTCCGTGCTTCATAGGTCCAAACATACATCCAACAATACAATACACTAGGCAGCACACAGCGCACCTGATCAAAACCCTCCTGCACGTCAAGTTTTCCTTCCCAATGAGACACAGAGAGAGAGAGAGAGAGAGCAGGTGTCAATGCAAAAGACGACTACCACTAACATACACTTGCACAGAGAGAGAGAGAGGAGGACTGAGGAGTGAAGTTGAAGTCTCCATACATACGCCTGCTTTTATCAAGAGACAGCGAACTCTCATCTTTTTCTTTCTCCATCTCATTTAGTAATCAATCTCTCTCTCTCTCTCCTCTTCCTCTTAACAATGCCTCTCTAGTTCTCTCTCTCATCTTCTTCACTACTACTAATAACTACTGACTGAGCTAGCTAGTTTCACCTTCACCTTCACCTTCACCTTCATCTTCACCTAATCGTCCATCAATGGAGTTCGATCTCGAAAACCCACTACCAGCTCTCCAAGACCTCCAATTCCTCCCTTCTCTTTTCCACATCGAGTCCGATCACATGCCTTTGTACGCCTACTCTCACAATCTGCAACAAACTGATTTTGACATCACTGTTCGTGGTGAAACCATCTCTTTAATCTCACTTTTCTCACACAACTTTGATCCCTTCCTCTCTTACCTCGCCATCAATTACCTCGATCGATTCCTTTCCACCCAACACATACCAGTACGTATACACTTATGTATGTATTTATGCGTATCTCTATCTGTGTATGTATGTGTGTGTATATATATATATATATATATATATATATATATATAGTTCAAGATCTAAGATTTTCATATTGTAGGAAGGAAAACCCTGGTTTTTGAGGCTTCTTGCAGTTTCTTGCGTTTCTTTAGCATTGAAAATGAGGAAAGCAGAGTACTCTGTCACCGATATTCAGGAAAGTAATTAAAACCACTTAATTAATTATATATAACTATATACATATAATTGTTTAATTTTTCATAGAAAGTACTCATGTAAATCTTGTGGAACAGAATGACGGTGGTTTCATCTTTGATAAGCAAACTATTCAGCGAATGGATTTTCTAATCTTGGGAGCTCTGAAATGGCGAATGCGTTCAATAACTCCATTCTCTTTCATCAATTTCTTCATTTCAATGTTCAAATTCAAAGACCTACCGTCTAGACAAGCTCTCAAATCCAGAGCCACGGAAATCATCTTCAAAGCTCAAAATGGTATGCATAATAGTCCTACACAATTACACATTTATCATATATATACATATATATACACACACTTTTTTCATCAATTGAAAACCGATAAATATTGATTTTGTATGACAGAAATCACTCTATTACAGTTCAAGCCTTCGATAATTGCGGCATCGGCTCTTATATCTGCCTCTCATGAATTGTTTCCTTTACAATTTCCATGCTTTAGAAAAGCAATTTCAGACTCTGCATTTGTAAAAAAGGTAAAAATACTATTATTCACTATTTTACTAATTCTTTGATGTTACTATTGATTAATAGCAGGCAATATGATACTTCCTCCATCCTATAAAAAAGTGTCACTTTTTAAAAATCGTGACTATCAAAATTGAACGATTTTTCATCAGTGACACTTTTTTTTGGGACGGAGATAGTAATTTAGAAAAAGTCAACTAGGTTTTTAAAATTTGCCTACAAGTAGATTTATTCATCAATCAACTTTTATTCTCTTAATTTCAGGATAAGTTGTTTAGCTGTTGCAATGTGATACAAGGAATTGTTATGGATGGCTATGAATCAGTGCTTGATATGGCATCAAGCTCGAGCACGCCGGTGTATATTCTTGACCGGCAATGCTCGAGCTCGGAAAGTGAAAAGACGGCCACAACAATTGAGCTAGAGAGAGATGAAGCAGCCAAGGATTATCTGTTTTGGGAGCGATGATAGGTACGTTTCTGCTCTAGCAGATTCAGAAGTGAATCAATGAACTTGAGTGGAGTCTCAGTCATCACTAATGGAGGGTGATTATACAGACAGAGAGAGAACACAGCTTCATTATATGTGATTTATCTCATAGACCACCAATTGATGTTCAATTGGTCACTTTACTCTCACCCATTCAAAACAAAGGCAGCAATGATAAAAAAAAAGAGAAAAATTTCTTTCGTTTTCTAAGGAGCCAAACAAGGAAACACATAATTTTGAAATGTAGGATTGAACTTGTATTCCCGTTTCTGGTTTGGGTTTTTGTTGTTTTTGGTTGGTGGTGTCTCTTAGTTTCTGGCAGTGGAATAATGGCAATGATAAAAAGAACAATTTTATCGGAAACCAAAAGAATTTTCCGTCCATATCTATTTTTGGCATTATTTCATGGTCGCGGGAAAATAAAAATGTGGGAGCAATTGACGATCTTGCCCTTCATGCTAGTGGCTTGGTTGCTATGTTTAACACAATTTGTTATAGCAACGTGTAACAAGGGTTATTTTTTTAATATTGAATCGAAAAAGTGATTGAGTATAAATGAGTGGATATGCAAGTACTACCTAATAGTTTGAGATTTTGAATAAATGAGTAAAAGTCCACCTGTTATAGTTGATATCAGAATTATACCTAATCCTTGATCTGGTGTCACACCAAGTGTCTGACTCGGAGGATGTTAGATTTGCAACCACACGTTACGAATTTGTTCCACATCAAATTCGAATGAAAAGGTAATTAGATATAAATAAGTTACATAATGATACTAAAACCTATTTCTCCGACAATTGTCATTTTTGTTTTCCAAAATGGTTCCTATTATTTTTTGTATTTTGGTTTTTAATTTTATTTATGCAATCTTGAAGTTTTAAGAAGTAATATTGGGTATTTTTATAATGTCTGTGTTCTTGTATTTTGAACCATTGGACGGTCCCCACTAAGAAATTTCTCTGTCCCATAAATCTGGCCCCACTTTTGAGATCTCAGTACTGCAGGAGATTAAAGTCACCACTCAACCACATATTAAGTTGGACCACTGTATGAATATGATCGAATGTCCCACTGGTGATATAATTGTGAAGGTATATATGATTATACTTCACATGTGTAAGCTCATAATGCCTACAAACTACTACCATATCTTATTATATTCCAGTGTTTAGTGTCATTAATAAAGAAACAAGATTAATACATATAGAATTGTCATTAGAGAGAGAACTTCAATATTTTCAGCTCAGGGTCCGGGCATAAATTAGGAGGAAGCAGACTCGGTCGGTCTCAATGTCCAATAATCCAATTTGCCATATACAGATGAAGAATTAGGAAACAGTAATAGCTAAGCTAATCAACCACGATACATGCCAACAACAGTGTCAGTGAGTTGCCTTGTGTGGATCCTATTTCAATAGAAACTTGATGAGTCGATCCACTTACACGTCTTGTTTTTACCTTTATATTGAGAGTTACTTCACGTATTGCTTCAAGTAAAACAAATAGTGGATTGAGTTAAGTGGAATGGTTATGAAATATAATATAAATAAACAATTTAGACGAGTGAATAAGTTAAATTTGCTCTTTTATTCGATTTTTGCTTAAATTAAATTTATCAAAATAAAAATAAATTAAACAACTCACAAAGCAAAAATTAATTGCAAAAAAAGTAAAAAGTGAGTTTAGAGAAACACCGGGTTTTTGTGCATGAAAACCTAGTTGGAAGAAACCCGACCTACCGGGATGAAAATTACGGAGACTTTCGTCGTCTCAAGTGAAACAATTCATTATATTTGAAACAAAGTATATCTCACATTAACTCAGGCTCTCACCCTATCGTTGTATCAAAAATCAATTGCTGACAATCTCTGTTTTCGCGACTTCCAGTCCAACAACTCTCGACCTTAAGCTTACTAACAATTTTTAAAGCGCAACCTATACCATTTATACGCGACCAGCTTCGTAGAGACAGAAAGCAATTTATGAAAATAAATACTGAGTCTTTGAAAACCTTCTAAATGCACATGCCCCCAACCTCAGGCATCCTCCACACACACTTACCTTTCTAATGCGTTGTTCTTATCAACACGAAGTGTATCATAGTGTAGGCACGATCCATTTCTAATTCCACTTGCGATCTCGAGTCTTGAAAATCAAACCAAAGATTACAACTCGATCAAATTCGTTTTGACTCCAAAATTAGTCAATATACAATATTATATCTCACAATCTCCGGAAAAAGTGCTGCTTCTGTTATATGCACACATGCAATGAATTGATGCCAACAAACTTTGATGGGGAATTTTTCAGTTTATGATCTCAGAGAAAGCTTAGGCAAGCCAAATCCTGATTGGCATTTTCAGTTCATATATACAAGTGTGTAGATTGTCTCATGTAAGAAAAAGCTAATGGCAGAATCAGCATATAAACTGAACTCTTTCTTCTTCATTTTTAGGAAAAAAATGAGACGAAAAAATAAAAGGGATTACTGTTCTTAGTGTCCAAGTACAATTAATTAGGATAAATTTAACACATTAGGTAGGCTGTTTAAGTATCTCTATTAGATTCCATAAGTTCTTGCATCAATTGGTAGAACAAAACAGTGTCATCATCATAGCACAAAAAATCCGGTGACATAAATCCTCCCTCCACCAAGCTGGATAACGGAATATCATTCTGGCTGAAGGATGTGTCTGCTAAAAATGGCTCAGTCCAAAAATTTCCAATACCTTCTGCAAATGACTCTGTTGTTGCTGGCCAGCTAAATGTGGAGAATTCACTAGAAGATGATGGTTCTGGTGTCAATTCGCTATTTCGCCTTGCTTCACTTTCAGAAGTTTCAATTGATTGCTCATTCTGGTTGGTTTCGGGGACAGAAATTTCGCTACATTGCTGTCCCACTAGAGATGCCATCTGCTCTTGTTTCATGCGTTTCTTTAGGTGGGTGTGCCAGTGGTTTTTTATGTCGTTGTCTGTTCTTCCCGGCAATTTTGCTGCAATTGCTGACCATCTGGAAGTAAAAAATATTGTGTTACTTCATTAGTCTATTGTTAAAAACCATATTGATCTCTATATTGTTGCAATTAAGATCAAATTAATTTCATGAAGCAAAATAATGAAAAAGTCTCATACTTGCTTCCAAGTTCGGCTTGTACTTTGATGATGAGATCGTCTTCTTCTTTGCTATAAATCCCTCGCTTAACAGTAGGCCGCAGATAATTCATCCATCGGAGCCTGCAACTCTTCCCACATCTTGACAGACCTGGAAATTGGAGGCAACGACCTTAGCTTATTAATTAATTAAAGACCTTTAACATGCATTAAGGTATATCTGCATTTCACCACTTCTAATCATTTTTTAGTTTTCATGTATGTACTCTAGAAATACCTAACTAGTAAGAGACAAACTTTGATAAACATTATCATCCACAAATTGCAATTATCATACATAAATAATAATAATAATAATAAATAAATAAATAAAAAGAAGTTCAAAAATACCTAAAATTTTAAACACTGGATTAGTTTGTATAATGTCTAATGATTAAAATGCAACAAGAAGTTTGAAACAAATGAAAATTCCTACCGGCATACTTGGGAAGTTGACTCCAATTCCAATGGCCATATCTCAGAATATAAGCTCTCAATTTATTATCTTCATCTGCACTCCATGCACCTTTCTTCATTCCATTTTTGTCTATGAAAGGTGCTCTCACCATTTTTGGGACCTCCTCTCTCTCTCTCTCTCTCACACACACACACACACACAAGATCTGATGAAGATTAAAGCAGCACCATTAATAAGGTCACTCTTATTTATACAAGTACTGTCAAGGAAAAAACGTGTTTAATTCAAACAAAAAATATGCAGTGATCATCGTCAACCTTCAAAGACAGAAACAGTGTATTCAAAATGAGAGGCTCCTTCTACTATAATAGAAAGATAACACTTGACTTTAATTAAGAGTTGAATTATAAAATTAAATGGAATAAGGTGACTTCCTTGATGATGTCACATGATGATGCATGCACCACATGGTTGCTCGGTGTGAAATGCATCTCTATGCCTTGTTTTTACTCCTTAAATTAGTGAAATGATACACCACTAGTTGAATTATGGATTGCTCTACAACCTTTCGTGCTTCATAATTTTTAAAAGGGATTATTATGAATACATGGGGTTAATGGAGATATCAAAGTCATAATATTTTGGAAAAATAAAATTTATAGAAAAATACTTTTTATTTGTCTAAATTATCCTTAATTACTACTAATTCCATGTACAACTTTTGTGTATAAAGTACCATTCTTATACATGTAGATACCCTTTTTTATTATTATTATTTTTTAATTGTATAGAACATGTTATCAGGTGCCACTTTTTGTAGGCAAACATGGTCATAGCAAAACTTCTCAGCAACTCATTCCTCTTTTCTCAAGCTTGAATACTAACTAAAGCTAACACAAGTTCAGTTTTTTTAGTTATCACTGCCTTGGTTAACGTATCTGTTGGATGCAGGGGTGGATCCCGTGCGGGAGGGGGGGGGGGGGGGGGGGGGGGGGAGGAATTTTTTTTTTTTTTTTTTTTTATTTTTACTATAGGTAATTTTAGCACAAGTCACAAAAAAATAAAAAAATAATATTAGTAGTACTAGCCCACCCCATAATATATTACCCCCCCCAACCCAATATATTTCTGGGTCCATCATTGGTTGGATTATGATTTCCATGTATCTTTTCAATTAACAGACCAATCACATTATCTATCAAACAGTTGGATTTGCGAAATTAGACTTGATATACCGTATATATCAGGCTCCATAGTCCACACTACCCATCATTATTCATCAATAATTTTTTTTTTTTTCTTTTTTAAAAATTTAAAGTTATTTTATTGTTTATTCATGAATGTTTATAACTTTGGATCCTCGCCTTAATCGAGATTCCATCAATTTGTGCAATTTGTGGGTTATATTATGCAAGCTCGAATTCCAACTAATTTTTTTGTTCAAATGGAATCACATGTATAAATTAAATTTTAATGCAGGTTTGGCTTGTGAGTTGGAGAATTTAAGTTGATGGATAATTGGTTTTAAGTTTGGATTAACACTAATCAATTTTTCCAAACAGTCCTAGTTGCATTTCGAGCCCCATTCTACCGACAGCATAATTGGGAGAGTTGTATATTAACAATAAATAATTGCAATATGTTTGTTCTTTCAAGTTTCATGGCTGGCACCACGAAAGGCAACACGTGGTAGGGAAACTAGAGAGTGACGTCCATGGTGCAGACGTCACAACCACTTGAAGTCAAAATTTATGTTAATTAAACAAACATAAGATGCAACTTAATCCTATCCAAAAATACACAGCTTTGGAGGATAAAAAAAATATTTGATTGTAAGAGTTCACACTTGAAACCTGTTCACTTACACGTTCTTATCACGTATATCAAGGATTTTATGATTATTATTATTAATTACCATTAGTTACTAAACCTGAATTATTAAACATAGTATCTGCTGCTGCTTCCTGCTTATCTCGTATTTAGGGTTTTGGTTCCATCTAAAGTGGACTTCAGATTAAGTCATGACCAGAAATGTCAACAGCAGCAGAGTCCCTTTTATGCTACATACAACTTTTGGTTATGGAGTTTGGAAATTAAGAATGTTAGAAAATCTCATTCGTTTTTAAAGTTTGGATTGAATGAGTTCAGAAAAAGAAAGTAAAGGAGATAACTTGTTGTGTAGTACTTATACATAAGAATATAACTAAAATAATTACTGAAACAAGTGGGGTCGTCTCTTTCCAAAATACGAACAACCACCGGTCATCCAAGCACCGGCAACCACCACTGCCCATAACCGTACAAATTTAACTTCAAAAATATCACAAATTAAACCTCTTTTTCATTGAACTCTTATTTTCCTTTTCCTTTCCTTTCTTTTTTTTTTTTTTTTTTTTTTTTTTTTTTTTTTTTTTTGAATAGTTCATACTTGTATTGTATATAATTTTTTTTATATATTAGGATTTTTAAAACCTCTTTTTGGAAACCAAAGGGAAATCCGGCCGCCAAGAAATCCAGGCTACCATTTGATATACATTCATTATCGGTGCCGCATGTGGAGGTATAGGACATTATCCAGCAACCATGCACAACGGCGATTTGAAGGCTGAGAATTCAACACCGGAAACCATTGATGGAGGAGGAGGTTGATTCAACAACAACTTGTGATTAAGGGAAAATTGATTATTTCTCTTATGCTATTCGAAATCCAAAACCACCACTGGAAAAATGACCACAACCTTACCTCTCCTCCCTGCAATATTTCTTTAAAATTAAAATTTAAATGATTATCTTCATCAATCAAGAAAAATATCAGTTCGCCACATGCAATTTTCTGTTATAACTTCATATACCATATATATAGATATTATATCTTTCATATAATGGATTAGATCGCCGCTAGTGGTCAGCGAGGATGGTAAGGTGTCGTTCATGGTTGAGATGCCTGATGCAAAAGAGATTAATAGTGGTAAAGATGAGAAAGGAGAGAGAGAGAACTGATTTACTGCTTTACAGGGGAAGATAAGAAAGGAGAGAGAAAAACTGAAGAGAGAGAATTTAGAGTTATTATTTTAAACTTCTGACGTGAATATCCATCTTAGCAAACAGAGATTATGTGAGACAAATGTATTATTTGGTGTAACTATCATTAGGATTTAAATTAATTATTGCAATTTTTTTTTTCATAAAAAGACTAAGCTGTTTCCATAATTCAACACTTAATTCTAAATGGATTCAATTCTAAATGGATTCAATTCTCATCCAATAAGTGCTTGATTATGCAATTTAAATAACCCTGGACCACTTAATATGCAATAAATTTTAAGCGATTGTGACATCACTTATAAGTTATTACTAAATGCTAAATCCTGAAAGTTTTAAAAAATATCAAAATGTATTTATTTTTTACAACCACTTAAAAACTTAAACACTTAAAATTCAACTCTTAAAATATTTAGTACTTAATTTTTAATTTTATCAAATAGCACTAAAACCACAACGTACCAAAGTAAGGGCATGGTTTTAGTAAAAATATGGCTAAAAAAGGTCTACAAGCTAGCAACAAAAAATAGTCAACATAATTCTGTTGGGTTTTGTGGCTGGATGCGCAAGTAGTCAACAAAATCAATACTGTAGTTAGCGAACTAGCATGGACAGACAACAAGGCTTTACCCATACTCTTATAGGGCTGGACCAGGTTAAAACTCAGCAGGCTGAGCTCCGACCAGCCCATGGACTCCAAGTCATTTCTGCACCCTTATACTTGAATCCTTTGGTTTTATCGACTCGGACCATGAGGCTGCAGTTCCTATGGGCTTCACAATTTGGGCCCAAAAAAAAAAAAAAATTATACTAGCACATTCCATTTTAGGCTTGAAGTTGGCCGGCGAAGTAGTGGTGATTGAAATTGAGAAAGGAATCAAGGATCTCATTTAGGGTCCAAAATCCAAATAGGCCGGGTTGATTGGAGATTGTCTCTGGTCATAATTTGGGTCAAATCGAAAATAGTCGAATCAATCCATATCCGCTTGAATTCGGGTCCACACCAAGTTATAAATGGATTCAAGTGGACTTCAGCCTTCAGGCATATGGACATCTAAAAGGGTAAACACCTGAAACCATTCTGGATGGGTAAAATCTTGCCATCCCCTCTCATTTGGTTGCTTGGGATTGTTCTTATTATTTATTTATTTTATGCATTACAAAATCTAGAACCTCATCCAACTTTGTTTCACAATATGATCCCAACAGATTTGGTACGAGATCTCATAAATTAATTACAATCCGTATGATCATGATCATGATTCCAAAGAGTAGAACATGTTCATCCATAGATTTACTTGGTACCTTCAATTCAAACATCCCATAAAATATCAAATGGTTAAGCATGGAATATGATATTCTTATAGCCCCATTTATGTACATACATATTGCGTCAAAACTCAAAAGTGAGGAATTAAGATCGAGAACATTTGATCATGCATTCCTTAAAACACCAATTGGTCTTGTCACCAATTGAAGACATTTATATGTTCATCGTATACACCATATAGGCTTAAGAATTCTTCACCAGTAACATCAAAATCAGGAGATAGCAAATCCTGGTTGACCAATGGTGCCATGTACTCACTCTGGGAGTTATAATTGTCTGCCACAAATGGTTCCCTCCAAAAACTCTCACTTTCTGCAAACATCTCCGACAGACCAACATCAGTACTTTCCGCCACAAAGTTTGTGCACTTTGTTGCTCCGGTGTCTGATGAGGTCGATGAAGAAAATTCACTTGCTGATGGTTGTGACAATGTGGAGCTTTCGTTAACAGCATCACAATTGTTGGTGTCTGATCCGTTTTCAAGAGTACTGCTTTTGCGTTGGGAAGAATCAGTACTAGAGCTTGGTTTTACTCCATGTGAAATTGAGTTCTTTTTCGAGCATTTCTTGAGGTAGGTGTGCCAGTGGTTCTTTATATCATTGTCTGTTCTTCCTGGTAAATGGGTAGCAATGGTAGACCATCTGCAAATGAAAAAAAAAAAACATAAGATTAAAACTATGTTTTTTGCTTAATAGCTTTGTTACTCTTGAAAATAGGAAGCCATTTATACTGGTACTTTTTTCCTCTTTTTTTTTTTTTTTTTTTTTTTTTCTTTTCATCGACATTTCTCAAACTAGACATCATTTGATGCATAAAATGACCTAATTCGTATGGTTTAAATCAATTCTCACAAGTTTTACTTGATATTAGCATTAGATTAGTGTCTTTGTTTATGTGTTTGCGCAAAACTAATATGAAAAGAAAAGTTGAAGTTAGATAGAGATGCAGTACCTGTTACCAAGTGATTCATGTAATTTGGTGATAATTTCCTCTTCTTCCTTGCTGAAGATGCCTCTTTTAATGTTTGGCCGTAGGTAATTCATCCATCGCAGTCTGCAACTCTTCCCACACCTCGCTAGTCCTTGAGAATAAAAAAAATTGCAATTATTTAACGGAAAAAAAAAAAAATTAATGAAAAAAAGGATCATATGGATGAAATAAAAAGAAACTTATGCAATCAATAGTCAGATAGTATGATATTCTCAATAATCGAGCCCGTTTGCTTGAATTTTCTACATGAAATTACCCATTAAAGAAGAAAAAAGAAAGTGAAAGCCATGTTAATGGAGTTGAAGGTTTTGGAGGTTGGGAGTACCTGCATACTTGGGAAGTTGGCGCCAGTTCCAACAGCCATATCTAGCGATATAAGTTTTAAGCTTCAGGTCTTCCTCAGGAGTCCAAGTGCCTTTCTTCAATCCTGTTTTGTCACAGCATGGAGTTCTCACCATCTCTCTCTCTCTCTATATATATATCTCTCTCTAGCTATATATGATGAAAAACTCAAGAAGCTTGGCTCAATGCAGAATTTCAAAGTCTCCTCTATATATACCATGACATAAGGATCACCAAAACGTGTAACATGACACTAACAAATAATGACAGAAGCCCTTATTTCATGTAATCAAAGCTAGATAGCTCCCTCCAAGAAGATTCAATCAAAGTACAACTCCACTTCAAGTCCTGCCCCACTAGGTCTAAATGGAATATATATATATATATATATATATATATATATATATATATATATATATATTGTTGTGTGGTGGCTTCAAGGAAATAGGGTACTAGGAAAGTGTTATTTCGTGTCTGCTCGACCCATCATTATCAATAATACCAAAGCGAGTGTGTGGTACTACTGCTACTATTACACGTGACCAAGAAAATCATGTATCACATAATTTTCGTGGCTACTTTTCGACCAGTGAAAGCTTCGTGCGGCTTCTATAGAAACAGGACAACATAATAATAATATTATTATTATCATTGTGTTGAGACGCGTCCATGTTATGGTTGTAATCTCTTCAACCATCATGATTAAAATTTATTTTCATTTTTTCATCTCAAACAATTATCTTTGCAACAATGTGTGTTGCAAAAAGTCTCATATTTGACCTATGATTATTTTCTATTAAAAGTCGTCATCATGAAATTTTCATTTTTTTTTTTTGGAGGAATGACAAAGGGTTTTCCCTCCCACTTTGAATTACGGATTAAGTTTTTCATTTAACGGATTAATTCTTTTTTTAGAATATTTTTATGTTTATTATTTTCTCTTTTTGCATGAGTTACCATAATACAATGAAACATAGCATCTAACACATCATTGTCCACAATTTAATTTTATATTTATTTCAAGTTAGTTACTATTATTTTCAACATACATATATCCATAACTTGCACCAAATCACATAGTAAATATCCAATTCTTAATATTGGTCACAAAAATTATATAGAAGAAAAGATAACTCCCGTATCTGTTGAATAAGTTAATTGTGGATTAAAACATACATTATAATATACAGACATGTTAACCTGGGTCAATAAGACGTACTATTGACTATTTGGGAAGATGAATAGATACTGCGACCTGTAATTAAATAGCACCGAATAAAAATATGATTTATGTTATTTGCAAACAGAAAGTTGTTTTTTTTATTGGGCATCTGACTTCAATTAAGCACATGCAAAGTCCTTCCTACTGGTTTTAGGACATTGCACAATTTCGTCCCCTAAAGCCTAAATTGAGTACTATATGAACATGAGTATGAAGGAAAACTACTAAACTAGACTTTTCTATACATTTCACAAAATTTCGTCCCCTAAAGCCTAAATTGAGTACTATATGAACATGATCTTTCAATTTAATTTTGTGTAAGACAAAAATAGACGTTCACACCTTTTTTTCCGGCTATTCAAACAATATGGATGCTACTTATAGTAAAAAGTCCCAAGTTTTGTGTGGTCCGGAGCTAATTAAGTTTGTTGGTTCGTAAACTGTCACACCTCTCACAAAAGTTAGATTCAATCACTTTTCACATATTTTCTAACTAGAGAAAACCAAAAACAATAAGGTAAAGCACACTGAGAGACATCAGAATGAGCTATTAAGATTTAAAAGAGGAATTGAAGATTTAAACTAGAGAACGGAATTTTTTTTTTAAAAAAAGTTCCATTTTAATTATTGTCATTGGTGAATATATTTTTTTTAATTTCAAAAAAATAATCTCTCTGCCTTATAGTTTACATGCTTTAATGAATCCAAAGTGTTTTGTTAGTGTGGTGAGGAAATTTATTTTAATTGATGAATTTAAAAATCATTTTCCATACTCTCATTCATCCCATACTTTTACTCGAAATCACCTCCTTTGGCCTTTTTCTCTTGCCAATTAAACACAAACACATCACTTAACCACTTGTAGATAGGTGTCACTTTTTTCAGCAATAACCCTCAAATTCACCACCTCAAAACAATCTCCATGGAAGAATTGCATTCACAATTTCACACACATAGCACATAAGATTGCTATGCTGTTAAAATAGGGTTAATTCCAAAAAAAATCTCATTACTTTCAAATTTTGATCATAAACTCTTAATATGTTTCAAAAAATCGCCAGCACTATAAAAAGTGATCACATTGTCCTAATATCTATATCCGACCTGTTAATCGAACTATGAAATGACAAATTTAACTTTACTATTTACTGTTAAATTAAAAATTAATTTTTTTAATTACAAAATTACCCTTTAATCCCCCCCCCCCCCCCCCCCCCCCCTCTAAAATAGACCCATAAAAAATGAAGACAACCTGTTACGTTTCCCTGTTTTAGCATCATCATCACAGTTCAATTAAAACTCCACAAACACCATATAGAGCTAACCCATCAAACACCACCATTGTTGTTCATTTTTTTCCTCCAAAAAATCACATTCCAAAGCACACGAAATAAAAAAGAAAGACCCCCGTAAATCAAGTGAGTAAATGTGTCCATGGCAGTCACAGAAAATTTGCAATGAACTCGGTGTCCTCACCAATACCATAGTGCCCCAAGCCACGAAACTATATACGAATGATTTCTGACCCATTGAGCTCACTGAGTCAATTTCTGAGTTTGAGAGAGAGAGATCCTCACTCGTCCTTTGTTATTCTATCATCTATTTGGAAAAGCTTCAACCCAATTTTTGGTCCTATTGACTGTGCTTTCTGTGATACTCCCGGATTTTCGAATGCGGGTTGGCCAGGCCCACGCCCGAATACCCGAGAATATCAAAAACAAATCGGCAATAATCGAATACAGACAAAAGGATAAATAATAATAAATAAAATACTGAAAAAAAACTAAAAAATCATAATCCAATAATTAATCATCAGAATAAATTTTCATTAATTAATAAACTCTTTTTATACAACTAATCCTCCAAATAATACAACTCGGGAATCCATACTATGTAGACCCCTAGAAAATCCCAACTGAATAAGTGACAGCAATAACTATCTACATCAGAATACTGAAACATAAAGGAAACTCCTATATAGATAATCCAGAAGAGTGAAGTAAACTGATCCCTACTCAGCACGAACAATCTCTACTCCTGACGAATACCTTAAAAATAATGGTGGGTCAGGCCCACAAACAAGTTCTACTTTACTACAGTCCAAGTAGAAATCCGATACACGTATACATCCTAGTCAATCCAACAATATCTAGTAGTCCGTATATATATATAGATACACACTAAAAGGGGTCATACTGGGCTATAAGGCGACCTCAACCTGAATAGTAGGTAATATGCAAAACGCACATATAGTGGACATGAGTATCTAGACCTACCAGGGCACATAATGATCCACTATATCTAAATAGTCATCCCATGCAATATACGCACTCTGACCACTAATCCTGAGACTCAAGCTCATGTCAGGGTACATAACTATACATATATAAAATCCGTTATATCCAAATATAAAATAAATATCCGGTATATCATCCAATTAATTTAGTTGACTTGACATGAATATATGTAGGATTTAATATTTTAGTTAATCCATTCCGTTATACATAAATAGGTAGGACTTAACGTTTTTAGTTAATCCGTCCCTAATATGTCACCATCCCATATTGGTGCATATAATGCATACAATCCATAAATGATGCAACAGTTATAATATCACATCAAATAAATCCAGAAATAAGCAAAATATATATCAGATATGTACATGATCATATTATGCAGCCAATATATGATTAAAATCATATAACCTCCATTTAAATTCTTAGAAAAGTTTTAAGCAATTAAGTCATCCATACAATCCAATAATTGATGAAATAAATAACACAATACATCAATTAAATCCAGAAGTTAGCATAATAAAATCAGACAAATAACTAAGTATATTATACTGCTAATACATGATTTAAAATCATATAACGTCCATTTACATTATGTAACACCCCCACATTTTCCACGCATAAGTTGATCAGGCTTATACACGAAAAACGAGGGATATCAAAAACAATTGGCAATATACAAGCATGGAATACAAAATGACGATAATAAAAGAATTTAGACAGGAAAGAAACACTAAATAATACAACATCCATCCATCCTTTATTTAATATAGTACTTCATTACAACTTGAAAATCCTATGTCAAGGATCCCTAAATATAACCCTGAGAGTTCAACGTCAAAAGTAAATAAAAACTGAAACTGAAGTAATACATAAAACTTCTACCCTAAACTGGATCGTAAGAGTAGATGAGTTCGGCTGGTGGTCCCTCACTGCTAACCTCAACCTTGGAACGGGTACTGACCGTATCCTGAAATAACAACAATGGTGGGTCAACCCCACGAGCAAGTCCTCTCTACTATGACCCAAATCAGAGAATCAAATAAATTAATCATTAAGAATCGGATGAGTACTATATCTGTATACATCCTAAGGTAACTATCCAATGTATAACATGACCTCAACCAGAATAGACGGTGATCATTTAGACTCACACTAGGTGGTTAAGTGTCGCCTTTCCCTACCCGGGAAATCAGCTATTATACATGGTGCACGGTACTGGCAACACAGACTATAATGAACTACACAATGATAACACCTCTCAAAGTACTGATGGATATACTGAGCATATAAATTAGGCAACACATGCCAATAATATTACTAAACATACTGAGCATGTCAATTAGGTAACACATGCCAATAATATTAAACCACATACCTCGACAGCCACACATCTGTCTATAGCAACGAATGCATAAGGTATAAATAAGTCTAAACTTATTAGCCAGCTCACATGGTTCTATATGGCAACACATCCATATAATATAAATGCGACATAATTTAAACAGTCCATTTATTCTTTGAAATGCACACAGCATAATAATCATGGTTGATATATGATTAACAGTATAAATAACCCATAACATCTAATGGATAACTTATATGACGATAACCGTGACATTATTAACAGTACTAATGAATACCATTTAATAAAATAATAACACCACCTATAGTAATGTTGTTCAAATGAATCACATTC